TCTTGAACAAACCCAACATGCCTCGAAGTTCCTGAAAACCCTCAGGGGGCCTGCCCGCAAATATCAAGTGGTGCGCGAATTTCCATTCGCTTCCCACCCGCCCGATCACCAGCTAAGTACACCTTGTGGAACCCTGCAATACCTCTCAAACCTCCAGCGAACAAACGTTGCGCTGGCACAAGAGAGACTCGCCTGTGTCTGTAATCACTCTGCCTATCCCGTCGATATGCTCGCATTGGCTCATGCGCATCCAGCCTTTCATGTCAACGCCCTCCTCCACGAGTGCTTTGATTGGTGAAACGAGTATCCAACCTGGGCTGAGACTCCTGAATATTGGACACATCTTGCCAATGAATCCTACCAGGCTTGACCATGTCTCGCTGGATCGCCTTTCCGCGTACCAGCGAAGCCACGCCCAGTAAGTATTCACTCGAAGCGGTTCTTGGCGAAACACCCCACGGCAATGGCCACCAAAATGCCCTGGAAGACAAAGTGACCCATGATCCCCATCAGGAAGATCTGATACCCGGCCTGAGCCAGTGGCAAATGCTGCAACAAAACAACAGGCGGCTGTGACAAAATAATCTTGCTTGCTGCTGGAATTTGAGGGAAAACGAGGCCACTGAATAATTGCGACGGGGCTCTCATCACGGAAAGCTTGCAATTTCAGACAGGGGGGGTTCACTGAGTGGATGGTGGAAAGGATTGCCAAGTTCTGGTTTGTATTGAACCTGTATTCCGATGCTGGTGTAGAGCCACATGCCCAATTTGACGAACACATCACCCTTGCCAAATGGCTGATCCTAAATCAATTCCAAATTGCGCAATATAAGATTTGCGTCAAACTCAGAATGTGTAGCCGTGTAGCCTTTCCATATGAGCTACGGTCAATACAGAACTTTGGCAAGTATGTGTTTGTTTGGTTTGTTGTAGATGATGCTTAGCAAGAACATTGGCCACTGTTATAAAGGATGAGCTTGCATGTGGAAAACCCGAGACAGATTTCCGTAGCCAACTGGGCTAGCTGCCCGCTCGTCTTCCAGCATCTGCGCGGATGAGTCTGATGTCCACTCAAAGAAGAGCGGATGGATTGCCTGCACGGCACTGTCCATTCAGACTGCAGGGGAATACGATGCTCCCAAACTGGGGGTTTTGCCGTTTCCAGTAAACCCCCCCACAAAGGTCCCCTCAAAACTCAAAAAAGACATCCCCCAAATGGGCCTGGTAGTATGCTTTAGCGAAACCTGCAGTAATGAGAATTGCAAATCCATGCCACGACCGATAGATCGCTCTAATTTGGAACTGGGAGAGGCAAATTTGTTCTATGGGCGCTGCCTCTCAAAAAGAGAAGCCTAGAGCGAATGCTGGAGTTTGGAGGGACAGGAAGGGCCCGTCTCGAGAATGGTGGTGATGCAGAACTTTTCAGCAAGTGCTCTTTTCCACGTCTCTGTGATTCATGCTTTACGCGGCTTCGCGCAGCTTCATGCGCCTTTGTTGTGCACCTTCATGTCTGAATGCGTCTTTGCGTCTGCATGTTTTTTGCTCAAGATGTGCACCCTACGGACCCCTGCCTGAACACCAAACAAGCGATTGAGCTCTCATGTTGACAGCTCTCCCCATGCGCTCGCACGCCTTTATGGCGTGCGCTGACATCGCTTGCTGCACGGCCAGCCTGCGGCTACAATGCAAGCCGGTTTCTACCTCAGCTTCTGCCCAACTAAAAAACATGTTTAGCCTAAATTATGTGAACCTTTAAAGTAGAAGCTGGTCATATCACAAGAGGCTGCATATATTTTGAATCTGCAAGAACAAACAAATGTTTCAGGTTTGGATGGTGCACGAGGTCCTTCCTGCACGGTATGAAGCTCCGAAAGATTGTAAGTGCGGTTGTTTGAGCTGAAACTCAGATTAAATCTGGAGGGAGCAAGTCTAAGTGCCACTACCTTATTGGATGCACTGCCTCTATGCTTGGCTGCAGGTGCATCTAGCAGCGCTTCTCTCAATCAGTACGGCCCGAAAAGACAGGCTTGATGATTGGCAAATACACCTCTCCCCTGCCAGCCGGCTCCTGTAGAAATCGCGGTCCACATCGTCGGTGATGCGAACGCCTCCCTTGATGCCGCTGTTTTTGTACCTGGCAAATGCCATGGATGCGGTGCGAGTTAACTTAGGGCATAGGAACTGGATCCACCGGAGTCGTCCTTTGGCCCATTCAAAAGAAGCATAGCCAGAAGTCCTCACGCCGTCTGAAAACTGAACGAGGAACCTCCAGAAACGCAACACAGATTTTAGCTTTTAGACTATTGACAAAGCTCAAATGGTAAACAACTCAAGCTGTTTGAGAACATGATTCAGAGCCCCCACGGCGTTCTATGGTGCCAATGCGCCTGATAGCCATCTGCGCAATCAAGTCATTTTCTTGCAACAAGCTAATCTGTCCCAGAATGGGGGGATCGTACCTGTTTAAAATCGTCCGGAAAGGAGTCCTTATTTGGTGGAGAATGCAAAAAATCCATGGTGACGGAACTTCCGTTGTCACCGGCTGATTAGTTTCCAGATCTCTCCAACACAACGTCGCGCGATCTGACGTCAAGCTCTGTATATGCAACCACATGCCGGAGATTCGCGCCGCACTTGAAGTCAGACTGCTGATCCGAGCAGCAGTTCTTGCCAACCGCCCAGAAGTCGTAAGACCTCAAAGTGCGCACAGCACCAAGTCAGCCCGTGCCTCCGCCAGTCTTAGCTATTGCACTCTGATCAGGGGTGATTTCTTTAACCAGGAAAACAGTTTCGGGGTGTCTGTGCTGCAAGGGCCCCTGTTTGTCAAAACATGCTGCGATATGTTGCAATGGCTAAGAGTGGCGGAGGCGTGAGCTGAACGGCATCCAAACAGCCGGAATCGAATCATATCAAAGGTCTGAAGCTGCGACCCGTGTGCACTCCCTAAAAGCAATATCGACCAGAGATTCAAGAAAAGGGGGTTCATTCATCCGAGGTCCCCATTCAGCCACACGACAGAGGACAGCTTGACCGGCTCAATATCGAATGTCCACCTATGATAAACACACATCCCCGATATAAAGTTAGGTTGTTGGTCAACACTGATGAATAAACCCCCGTGAAAAGAACAAGTAAAACTACCAAAAAGCTTGGAACCCCCCAGCGTTGGAACCCTCAGAAGTCAAAGCATTTGCAATTGCTTTACCGACACTCAAATCACATTCAAAAAGAAGCTAAATCAAATTCAAAAGGAAGCTTCAGCAATACTAACTCAAATGGAAACAAGGACATCCGTTTGCAGGGAGGGAGGGGGGAATTAGTTAGAGGTAGACATTACACTTGAAACTTGCGACAAAGACGCCCATTTTGGTGTTCACCGTGTACTTGCTATTGCTATTGGCATGTCCTCAATTGTCCGCACCCAACCTCTGAACTCTGATCACCATCTTAGCCCCGGACGCCAAGTTCGCCCCGTTCACCGTAATGGGGGCCACCTGGCGGCGCTCTGGCCGGCGAACCAGAAAAAACAAATTCAAGAAGCACCCGCGGGTATGCATGTGATCGGGGAAGCGTTGATGCTGTGGTTGCTTTACAATGGCCTCCGCGCCAAGACCAAACTCAGAAGTTGTGTCCACAATCACTGAGTCATAAACATTGAGCGCAACCTTCAAACAAGCTGCCAGGCGCCAGGTAAGTGTGTGCGTGCGTGCGTGCGTGCGTGCTTGCGTGCGTGGGTAGGTGGGTGGGTCCGTCCGTCCGTCCGTCCGTCTGTGTGCGTGGGTCTGTGTGTGCGCGTGCGGGTGGGCGTGTTGGCAACCTTTGGATGGCTTTTGCAGCTCCAAACACATCACCCCATTGCAGGTGCCGGACCATTTGAATGGCTCCATGCCAAACGGCCTTTATGGCTGAAGTCTTGAACCAGCAATACTAGCACAAACCAGCCAGCCAGGCGCAGAAGATGTCCGTGTTCTTGAAGCCATTGGCCAATCGGAAGTCCAGGTCGGCACCGGCTACGAACTGGACCTTGCCTGCGTCCATCAGCTCCTTGCAAGAGAAGCTGAAGCAGGCCAAGACACAGCGCCAAGCATCTCAGGCCAGAAAAAACAGGCGGAGTCATTACATTTCATCTTTGCTTCCCTGAATAATCACTAGTTTGCAAGATCCCATCGCCAAATAGGCACCAGAATTCACGAATTCACTATGGTCGCTGGCTCCTGACCCCTCATAGTGGCAGGGTTGACATCCACATAGGCGTTCAAGGATTGCACGTCAAAGGTGCCACGCATGTTCTGAGCATAGTTGTAGCCTCAGGCGCTCCGTTCAAGGGTAAGGCCTGCGCGTTCTGTTCGCAACAACCTCAAGCAGAACGTGCAGAAAGAACTACACAAGGCAAGCCAAACAGCAAGGAGTCCACGAGGCTTCATGATAAAAAGAGAGGACAAGGATGGCAAAAATCCGACCTTCAAGTTGGCGTGTAACATGCCTGAACCAACCAACCAAACAACCAACCAGCCAAATAACCAGACAGCCAACCAACTACACGCAAGCAACGAGCAAGCGAGCAAGCGAGCAAGCAAGCAAGCAAGCAATCGACACGCCCGGCAAGCAAAAGCAAGGCAACCACCCGGACAGCCAACAAAGCAAAACGCTAGCCAACCTGGCGGCGCCAACCAGCCAACCAACCTGGCACCCAGCGAGCCAACCTGGCACCCAGCGAACCAACCTGGCACCCAGCGAACCAACCAGGCAGCCAACCAACCAAAGCAGCCAACCGACCAAAGCAGCCAGCCAGTCAGCCAAGCGAAAGGAGAAACGCACGAACACTCTAGACACTACACCCAGGTTGCTTGTGAACGCGCAAGAAGGTTCTGACTCCTTATGGATACCAACTTCCTATCTCACGATATGCGGCCCCTCTGCGAGCCAATCAGATTTGCATACGCTGACAACCGCTGGATGCCTATTGCATCTTTAAACCTAGAGTTGATGCGTTGACCACC